AGCTTCAGGAGTTTCGCATGGAATCGATGACAGCCATGGAAGACGAGCTGGGCAAGGACGGGACCACCTGCAGAGGCGTACGACACCCAGCAGAAGCCCAAATGCTTGCTTTTTTTTTTTTTCTCCTTTATTTAACAGGGAAAAGGAGGTATCGTGTATTACTTGAATAACGAAGAAAAACTAAAAATTATTATGGGAGTAAATTAGCTGTTGAGCAAAAGAACTGATACTCTTCAGAAATAAAACAGTACACAAATCAAGTATATACTCTGAAAAGCCATCTGATTATATAGCAAAAAATTTACTCAACTATCAAAATAGGTAAACGAAGCCTGGCAATCTTATCACTTCTACATTACCAGAGTCTAAGATCAAAGTCACTTTTACTATCCCCATTTATCCTCTGAAGAAAAAAAATGTAAGAAAAATATTAACTCACTAATAAATGAAAAGGTCCAAATTACCCAAAATGAAAATTTAAAGAACTACTAAATATTATCACTTTCAAAACTAGTTAGCTTAATTCTAAAATTCCTCATGCCACACACCTAATACCATCATTATAAATAATATCCTTTTAATGTCCATGTTTCTGCAAACACAAGACATCTTGTTATACCAAGAACTAAATGATTTGTGGATTAAGAATGAATTTGTTTTCACACAATTTAACTGAATTTAAACAATTACGCTTCTAGTACTATTACCTAACTTGATCTATATATTGTCAAAAACACACAAAATCAAAGTAGAAAATTAAGGAGAAAACATTTGCAACACATATATCTGACAGAGAATGTGTACCCAGAATACACAGAGACCTCTTACAACTCAATGAGGCAAACACCCCAATTTTTTAAATGGACAAAAGGCTTGACCGAAAAATGCATACAAATGGCCAATAAGCACGTGAAAAGATGTCCAACATCACTGATCACTTGGGAAATGCAAATTAAAACCACAATAAGATACTCAGCACACAGAGGCCAGTGACTTAAATGACAGCAACACAGGACATGGGTGAAGACTCAGCGAAAATGTGGAGAAACCACAGCTCCCACATGGAAACAACTCAACCCTAACTCCACGCAAAACGGGACAATCGCTTGGTGAAATGGTCTGGCAGTTTCTCATAAAATTAAATCAATATTTACCACATGACCCCACAGTCCAACTACAAGGTATTTACCCAAGAGAAAGCAGAAGATATGTCCACAAAAGGCTTGCCCAAATGGTCACAGAGGTTTTACCAATAAGAGCCAAAACGGGACAGAGACCCATCAACAGGTAAATAAAGAAAACATAGGATATTCACACAATGGAATATTACTGAGAAATAAAGAGAAACTACTGAAACAAGCAACGACATAGATAAATCCCAAAAACATGCTGGATCAAAGAAGCCAGTCACAAAAATGTATATTCTGCGTAATTCCATTCATGTGAAATTCTTAAACAGGAGAAATCTGATTGGCAGTTGGGAGCATAAAAGAACTCTGAAATGATAGCAAGGTTATATCTTGATTGAGGTGACAGTTACACAGATGGTTACATTTGTCAAAACTCTTCAAACTGTACCCTTCAAATACGTGCATTTTCATGTATATAAACTACACTTCAATAAAGTTGATTTGCACACTAAAAAATGGATACCTCTCTAGAAAGTGATTTGGCAACATCTATTAAAACTTGAAATGTACATAATCTTGAACCAGCAATTCTCCCTATAGAAAGCCATCACACAAATGTTCAAAGCTACATAAAGATGTTCCCTCCTTGCGGGGAGAGCACAACGTCCACACAGACGGCTGGTGCACTGCATGACGGCACAGAAGCCGGCATACTGCATATCCCATATAACAAAACAGCCTGAGAGCTTAGAGCAGAGGGCAGCAAACTTCTGCAAACAGCCACATGGTTAAGTGCTTTGAGGCTTGGCAGGCCACATCCAGTCGCCTTGCATATTCTTTGGGGGTATTTGCTGTTGTTTTACAACTCTATTAAGAAATGCTAAAATCATGGGTAACTCGAGGGCCTTACGAAAACAAAGAACAAACACACACACACACACACACCCCAGGCTGAGAAATCAGGGCTTTGAAGACCAAATGCCCAAATTCAAATCTGTACTCTACCACTAACTAGTTACCTAAGCTCTCCATCTTTTGTTATTACAGTGTCTGTGTAAAATAAATGAAAGCACTTAAAACAATGTTGACCATATAGCAAGCTTTAAAGAAATAGCAAGCTTTTTAAAATGAAACAGATCTCTGCATTAACCTAAAAAAATGTTTCATAACAAAATAACTTGATAGTGTCTTTGTAAAATACATGTATTAATATATATGAATACATTGGAAAGTTTGGGAAGAATATACAGCAAACTGTTAAGGGTAGGGAATGGGGTTACAGGGATCAAGAAAGTTTTCACTATATAAACGTCTACATTGTTTTCAGTATTTTAAATTGAACACATATTACCTGTTTTTAATCAATACATAACTCGAAGTAAACAGAAATGAAAAGCGTACGTGGCGCCGTTTTCTTCACATACAGGTTCTAAGCACGTAGTTATTAAGCTTGGGAAGTGTTTAGTTCCATGAATGAGAAAGTACATCAACTCTTATAAACAATATTAGTGCAATAACTAAGAATCACTTATCAAACAATTTGTGCCAGCTGTAGTTCTAGGGGCTTCACATGTATTAACTCATTTAATCATCTCAACAACCTTATGGAATGAGTAGTTATCATTAGGACCACCAATTTACATATAGGGAACTTAGACATCAAGGACAACGTGATGTGACACAAACTGGCAGTTCAGGAACTGGAACCCAAGCAACGTGACTCCAAAGACCACTCTCTCAAAACCTGTACTGCCCCCAGAGCGCACACTAGTACAACTCCGGCTGAAAAGAAATCCACAAAGACATCTTTTAGTTTGTCTAGGGCATCAGATCCCATAAACCTACAATTATCTACTTTTAAATATAACTCTCTGATTGATTCAAAGAAACTCACTCTTCTTGGAACCAATCCGTCTTCAATCATCCAGGAGACCAGCAGATAACACGAAGTAGATAAAATGGAGCCAAACAGAATCTAAGTTTGGATCCTGACTGCAAATTCCTAGCTGGATAATCCTGGGCAAATTCTTAACCCTCTACATCAAAGTTTCCTTATCTGTAAAGGTCTGCAGAGTGTGTTGTTGTCATTGTTAAAGTTTTTTATGGTAAAACATACATAAATTTTAACTATTTTTAAGCACACAATTCAGTGGCATTAGACACATGCAAAACGTTGTGCAGCCATTACCACCTTCCACGTCCAGAACTTTTTCACCTTCCAAACAGCAACTCTGTCCCAATTAAACACTAACTTCCCATTCCCCTCTCCCCTCTGTCCCTGGTAACCTCTTATTCTACCTTCTGTCTCTGAATTTGCCTGTTCTAGGTACCTCCTATAAATGGAATCATACAATTGTTTCCTTCTGTGTCTGGCTTATTTTCCTCAGCATAACATTGTCAAGTTTCACCCATGTTACAATATGTGTCAGTACATCATTCCTTCAATAGCTGAACATTCCATTGTAGGTATACACCATATTTTGTTTATCCAAACATCTGTTGATGAATGCAAGGTGGTTTTTACAAGAATTAAAAACAAAGCCTCTGATGTGAATGTTACCACAATAAAAACAAACCAAACAAACGAATGAATGAATAGAGAATCTGGCAAATAGTAGGCTCTTTAATATTGTCTTTTTTTCACTTCATTTTTGTCATATTTTTGCACCACGTAGTGGTGCAGTGGCAAGATATAAAACAGTGCAACCATCTTAAAAATTTATCAGCTACGCCTTTTGAGATATTATTGGATTTACAAATCTACATTTATCATATGATTTTAAAAGAATGATGAAGAACATCCCAGTAATCTGTAATTACACTGGCACTACGTCCTTCAGTTTTAGCTTCAAAACCTACCTCAAATGATTCCAATAGAGAACTCATTAATGGTAACTAGACACCTTTCGATTAAAAGATGTAGTCGCTTATTTAGTGCCACCAATAAAAAAAAATTTAAAAAATAAAAGATGTACTCGCCCCTTACATTTTTGTACAATTATCAATTTCAACACAAATTAAGCAGATACTATATGCTAGGAAGCCAGATGATCCATCAAGCTTCTCTCTAGCTGCCTGAAATACCAAATATGAAAACCAATAGTTGCACCTAAAGGATATCCAATTTTCAATACCTCAGAGTGTTAATAACTAGGAGAGACCTTGGAACTTGTACATCTTGACAATTATTTTTCTTTATAACCACTGCCTCTCAAAGAGGGAGAAAAACACCTTCCAAAGTTCCTCGCAACATAAATATGAATATATCCTGTTTCCTTTGCAAGTTCCTTTGTCAAATTATTTCCCTA